GGCTGAAGAGAAACCCTGGACCTTAGAGAGGTTTTGCCCAATTGCTGAAACCCTAGGGCTTTATCTCTAAAAGATCCATATTTCTAATTTATCTTTTCAGAGAAAAAGAAAGGCGGGGGGGGGAGGGGGGCTTGTCTCTAACGCTTATCTAAATGATACAAGCTTTTATCAGTAAGCTGTTGTGTGGCATTACTGTGTTTTCAAGTTCTTCAGTGTAACCATAGAAGCACATTTGGCTGATACAGCATTTGAAAATCAATAATTATGCACTTTCCACTTCTATTGTGCACATTGACATTTTCAATATGGCTATGTTGCACGCTGGGGTGTCATGAAGATGCTGGCATAGGAAAAGCAGATGGAGTTTTAGAGAAAGTCAGTGTGTCATTTCACAATGCATGGAACAAGGCCAGGGTTCTTCTGTTTAATATAAAACCTTGAACTAGTAAGCTAAGAAAGGGAGGAAGTTTGGATTAAAAAAAACCCAAAAACAAAACCAGAAAACCTATTATGAATCCTATTTTATTGTCAATTCCTGTGAGTTTTAAATGTTAAAACTTCATTTAAAGATAAATTGTCCTGCAGTTATCTCTGTGCCTTGTGGATGAACTTGTGTATTGGCTATCCCGAAGTGTATCCTAAGAGGTAATGGCTGGGATTATGTCAGCATTTGCAAACATGAAAGAAAATTAAGAACATAAAAGGGCAGTCAAAACACAGATCCTTATATTTTAGCCTCCTGTCTCCAGCAGTGGCCAAAACCTGGTGTTCAGGAAGGGTCATAAGAACAGGTAAAGCCTGCTGGCTGATCCCGGCCTCCAACCAGCTCAGGGAATTCCTGGGCAAAACAAGATTCCTATGTAATTAATAATCTTTAAATGAAAAAAGCATACTGCTGAGCAAATAGAGCAAATTCACAGAATCTCTGTGAAACAGCATCTACATATACTCAACACTTGTATATGGCAAAGAGTAACACATTATAATTTGTGTCTGACAATGCCTGAAATTTGCTGGTATTTTTATAATTCATGAGTTTCCTAAAATTCTCAAAATCTTTTGCAGTTTATATTAATATATTTATGTTACTTCCTATGTGATATTTACAGTTGTTACATGGACAATTAATAAACTCAAATTTAAATAGAAATGTGTTATACACATTAAGATAAACTTGACTTGCATTATTTCTATGTATTCTTATATTATCTTCAGTGTAAGAAACACAAAGAGAAGCAGTAGGTTTTAATATAAATGTATAAGTGATAATAGGTATTTTAAATAAAAGAACTTCTTTAAATATTATATTTTTTTATGAAAAAAGATTGTAATATGCATGTAACCCTGGTAGAACTTGGGAACCTGAAAAACAGAGTTATTTGCCCATTATTAAACTATGTGCCATGTTAATGATCCACCTTTTGCTTTAGAAGAGAGCAATTAAGATAAGCGTAAAGGAAGGACAGACAACTGCCAACAAGAATTCTAAGTTGGTACACACTGACACTAGCATGTTTTCCTTGGTTCGTATAAAAAAATCTGGAACACATAGAAACTGCATAAAGCGTTCCTACATGTGTCTGATATGCATTTTTACAAAGAATTTTTCCTGTAGGTCTTTATTAATAGTGTAAGTTCGTTCTTCGTCCCTCCTCTTTACTGCCAGCCTTGTTGCTGCAGGGCTGTTTGATGATTCTCCGTAACTTCATTCACCATCTTGGTAGAAACTCCAGCAACATGCAAAGAACTTTGGTTGGTCCCAAACCCTGAATTCATTTTCTTCTGCCTCTTTACTCTGAAATGAAATTTTTAAAAAAGTGTGGGCACAACACTAATCAGAAAAAAACAGTTTAAGTTTAAAACAACTGCAGATCAAATTTCTTATAGGAAAAAAGTTTCAGTAAGAGACAGTAGAATTTACATGAGACAAACTTTCAGTATTGTTGACTTTATAGTACACATTGGATACTTTTTCAATGGATTCCTTAATAAAGAAGAAAAAAGTATAGGGTTTTGGAGCAATTACTTGGAATTGTCTTTTACAGTGAGAAGCAGGCTACGCTTGCTTGCTTCACTTTTGATGACTAGGAGCCATTATTTATTGATTGACAGTTCTGAACTCCAGTACTATTGCTATTCAAGATACATTTAAAGTGCTTACATACAAATCATGAGTCTTTTTGTTGGAAGAAGGGAAAGTGGAGAATAGTAAAAAAGATCAAAGATTATTTATGAACACATAATAACTATAAAGATTATCATAAAAGCATAATAATTCTAAAAATATATTAGTTTTTATAAACCTTGGTTTGATAAATCACGTTTTCCAATAACAATGTGCAGAACAAAAACATCCACTCAAGTTGGGCACCGGAAACAGGCTATTACGCTCTCTAGAATTCAGAGCACAGTGAACAGGCACCCAGTAGCTCTGCACAGAACAACACAGGTTTATCAAGATTTATGAGCTCAAGTACACTGCCTAAAGTAATTACACTACAAACTGACCCAAGAAGAATGCATGTAAGAGTGTGTCCTGGTTTAAGCTGGGATGGAATTAATTTTCTTTGTAACAGCTGGTATAGAGCTGTGTTTTGGATTTAGGATAAGAATAATGTTGATAACACACTGATGTTTTAGTTACTGCTGAGCAGCACTTACACAGAGTCAAGGCATTTTCCTGCTTCTCACCCCAACGCACCAGTGAGTAGGCTGGGGGTGCACAAGAAGTTGGGAGGAGACACAGCTGGGACAGCTGACCCCAATCGACCAAAAGGATATCCCACACCTTATGGCATCATTCTCAGTGTATAAACTACGGGTAGATCTGGCCAGGTATCCGCTGCTTAGGAACTGTCTGGGCATTGGTCAGTGGGTGGTGAGCAATTTCATTGTGAATCACTTGTTTTGTATATTCTTTTATCATTCCTGTTATTTTCCCTTTCTTTTCTGTCCTATTAAATTACCTTTATCTCAACATATGAGTTTTACCTTTATATGTTTTTAGTTTGGTTTTTTTTTCCCCTCAGTTGTCTCCTCCATCCTACTGGAGGGGTGTGAGCGAACTGCTGTGTGGTGTTTAGCTACAACTGAATGAATAAATCCTTGCAGATCTAAACTGTTTCTATATATACTAGTTTTTATCTCATCCATGGTTAATTGAAAATTTCCTGTGCTTTAAGCTTAGGGGCATACATCTTCAATTCTCTCCATGTCATCTGTCTACTTTCTTTGAAATCCTATCACAAGTAACTCCTGTGTTTCTTGTCTTTTTTATATATCTTGAACAGGTTTTCAGGGAAAGGAATTCACAAACCCATTGGTTTAGTCTGATTGTTGGAACCTAAAAGTCTTGTGAACAGTGTCTGAACAACAGGGGGTTGGACTAGATGACCTCTAGGGGTCCCTTCCAACCCAAAACATTCTATGATTCTAAGTCAAGGAACCTGAGGATTTTTAGCAAACCGTAGAATGTGGTGGTCCTGAGTTACTTCTTCATAGCTATAACTGAGTTCCTGGCAGTATGAATGGGTCAGTCATGCCGTTACGCATGAATATCTATCTAATCCAATATGCCTATTATTTAGAGAACAAGTTAGCCCATTATGTTCTTAGAAAAACCCAGCATCACATATCAAAATCACTGTGGGGTAAGTAAACTGACAAAGTATAAAAGCCTTTGAGGTAGCATAGTAATGTGATTGCTTACAGCATCACAGACTCCACGATGCTTCTGTCTACTGATGAACATGCCCACTAACCATTCCAGATACAGAATGATTGCCAAGCTCTACATCAGCAAGAATCAATAAGCTGGCAAATTTCTCACCCTACTGGATACACAAATCTAGGCTGATCCAAAACTTCTTTGTCATTACAGAATTTCACTGGAAATTTTTGAAACAGATGGCTGTTTCCTTTTTAATTACTTTAATTTAATGATCTCCAATAATAAATATGCCTTATTAAAAATTCTAGATAATTTCTATTAACAACTCCTTGTTATTAAAAATACTCATGTGAATATATTAGTGCAATGTCACTCATAGTTCTTTCCTTTTCCATTCATTTTGCTAATCTAAAAAAATATTAATATAAACTAAAAAAAAATCCTTAAAATTAGCAACTGAAAGATTTTTAAATTAAATGTGAAGAAACTAAAAATGTCTGAAAAATATTAACCATAATGATGGGCATGGGCTTAAATTACATCTTGTTCCCCTGAGAATAGACATAGTACATTTTCAAGACAAATCAAGTTACTTGTTTTTAAAATATTTGTCACTTAAACATTTCAGGAACACCTAGTCTGGTGGTTCTAGATGTAATATTAGTTTATCGAACATCCATAAAACAGTAAGAGTTTCATTCTGACTTCTACTTCAAAATCAAATTAATACAGTTAACATATATAAAGAGCTACTACTAAAACCAGTACATGAATACATAGAATGGTAAACTTCAAATGTTCATACAAAAGAATACATGCTTGCCAGCATATAGACAGTCTTATTTAAAAGACTAATCCCAATCTGTAATGAAACATAAAACTTAAGAGTGCCTATTGACAAGCTAATGTACAAAAACTTCCCTTCATTTCCACTCTGATTTATAATAGTCTTCAAACACCTCCTGTAAGAATCCCTGAGATCACTGCTTTATGTAAGGGAATTTTTGCTAAGGTATAACTGGAGTATGTTACATGTATGTCAAAAGAGTTTGGCTCAATTGCTCTTCTCTGTTTACAAGTTATAGTGGTGTACTTGGCAGTGTTATGTTTACAGTTGGACATGATCTTAAAGGTCTTTTCCAACCTAAATCATTTTCTGATTCTGTGATAATTCCCCTGAGTAGTTCTGCACTTTCATGACTTCAGTGTGTATATTCCATGTGACTGCAGTAATGAATAGCCTATTTGTATACGAACATTTATTGAGTTGTCGTGGTTTAACCCGGCTGGCAACTAAGCACCACGCAGCCGCTCGCTCACTCCCCCCCCTCCCTCTGTGGGATGGGGGAGAGAATCGGGCATCACTTGTTTTATATATTTTTTATATTCCCTTACCATTATTATTATTACTATTGTTATTCTTCTCTCCTATTAAACTGTCTCTGTCTCAACCCATGGGTCTTACTTTTTTTTTTCCTTTTCTCCAATTCTCTCCCCCACCCCACAGAGGGAGGGGGGGGAGTGAGCGAGCGGTTGCGTGGTGCTTAGTTGCCAGCCGGGTTAAACCACAACACAGCTGAAACCAGGACATGACTTTATGCCATAAAATATTAGGGAACTCTTTCCTGTTGGTAGTCTGCACCAGACAACCTTGACAACATCTGGCATCCAGAGGGTTGGGGCAAGAAGTTGTTCTGTTATGTCCCTCAGCCACATGGGCTCTAGGGAGCCAGGTGAAATGGGAATCATGCCTGCCTCCAACTGGAGCATGCTGAGGTTCCTTGGGTCAGACAGGGAAGACACCAACTGCATGAGTGCCCATCCTGGTCATGCAAAGCCCGGCCAGCTCTGCAGCTGCTGCTGTTGCTTCAGCCGTCTGTTCAACCAGCACTGAGATTGAGTCAAAACCCCCTCTGTACATGGAAGGACTATACAGCTGTGTTCCATATTATTGCCAGACAGGGACTAAAACTGTGGAAAGCCTAATAATAAAAGTAGAAAAAAAAACAAAAAAAAAAGGGGGGGGGGGGGTTGGTACAAATGAATAAACAAAATAAAATGCATGGGGTTTGAGCTCCAGATAAATGAGCAAAGCAGTTTAAAGTCCTTTTCCTAACAGCAGACAAATAGAAAATGCTATCAAAGTCAGCTAACAAAATCAAGAAAATGCACAAGCATATAAAAAAAGCAGCATACCATATGTCCACCAATATCTAGTACAACGGGAACATTTAGAAAGCCATTAAGATAGTGTCCCCATGTGCCCAGGTATACAACAACATATGGTACATTTCCTGCTTCACTGTGCATTTCCTTGCTTTTGTTGTTTAGCATCACTAATTTAGAGCTTAATTAATATAGTTTGTGTGTACATTTCTCTGCAGAATATTTTTAAAGTCTTCATTACTGCTTAAAATAAATCTTCTTTTAGTGCAAGTGCACAGTAAGTATTAACATAAGGTAGGATTTTTTTACAGACCTTAATTAAATGGAAGAGCTAGATAGAATTATTTGAAAGTAGCTACACATGATACTTAAATTATTATTGTCTTATTATTTCGGTCCTCACACTATTTTCTGTAATGATGTTACAGAGGGACATTACAAGGTTGTTGTTGGTTTTAATCAATGAAGACTTCCCAAGGACAGATATGGGTATCTCTCAGGAGTGTAGATTAGAGGCAAAATAGTAACTGACTAATGCAGCAGTGTTAAAGAAAAAAACAACAAGAAATATAAGGTGACTATGTACTGATAAATGTCCACTTGTACATGTGGAGAAGAAAGGGAAACCAAGATGTCTGAAAGATTTTTCTCCTTCATGGATATTTATTCTCAAAAACCTAAAGAAGATTAAGGAATCTCAGGATTCCCCAAGACAAGATGCAAATTATTTGTAAAAGACACATTGTCTCTCTCTTTGGTATTAACAGATTCAGCATGCCTCCTAGAAGAGCTGGACTTTCCCACAGTAGCTCAATCCTACCAATATTCCTATTTGATTTCAGGACACCTTATGAAAAAAAAAAGTTATCTTCTCAAAGGAATATTATTAATTATCTTATCTGCCTTTCTAAAAGATTTATCTGCTGTTTCATGAATTTGATATAGAAAATGAAATTGGA